GGTTGGTATGTCCTTATTTGCAAGCCCCTCATCTTTTGGTTCAAGGTGAGTTTTACGAAGTAAGTTCCTTCTATCCCGACTTTCTCGAGGGTCTTTATTAAGAAGGGATGCTGTATTTTGTCAAATGCTTTTTGTGCATCTATCGACAGGATCATATGGTTTTTATCTTTTCTTTTGTTGATGTGATGGATCACATTGATTGATTTGCGAATGTTGAACCAGCCCTTAACCCAGGAATGAATCCCACTTGATCTTGGTGGATAATTCTTTTTATGTGCTGTTGGATTCGATTTGCAAGGATCTTGTTGAGGATTTTTGCATCCGTATTCATCAAGGATATTGGCCTGTAGTTCTCTTTTTTTGCTGGATCTCTGTCTCGCTTGGGAATCAGAGTGATGCTGGCTTCATAAAATGAGTCTGGAAATTTTCCTTCGGTTTCTATTTTTTGGAAGAGCTTGAGAAGAATTGGTATCGCAGAACCAAACCAGTGCCATGACAGGCTTCAGAAGGCCCTAGAAATTAAAAGGCCCAAGTTTCTGAGGCATGACTCAGCAGGCTTAAGCAACTGCCCTTCCCCCTGCCCGAACCAGTCACTGGAGGTTGGGAAAGTACTGGATATTCCCACCACTTTCCTGGCCAGCTTAGTTTTAAACTCACCAATCCCTCCACGCTGCATCAACCTCTGCCTTCACCCTGTCCTATCACATTCTAGTCCCTGCCCATCACCCCTTCCCCCGCCCTAACTGTGATAAAAACCCTGCTCCTCCATTGTTCGGGGCTCTCGGCACAGCATGGATCCACTGCGTTGGTGAGGTCTGAGAGTCGAGCTTAATCCTGAGTAAACTCCTTTTGCTTTTGCATACGTGTCTTGGACTCCTTGGTCTTGGAATTTTGGGGAGACCATGATCTGGGCATAGCAGTATTAATTCTGTTTTAAATGTCTGGTACAATTCCCCAGGGAAGCCATCAGGTCCAGGGCTCTTCTATGTTGGGAGATTTTTGATCACTGATTCGATTTCCTCACTAGTTATGGGTCTGTTTAGATCTTCTATATCTTCTCGTGTGAATTTTGGTAGTGAGTGTGTGTTTAGGAATTTGTCCATTTCTTATAAGTTGTCCAGTTTGTTGGCATATAATTTTTCATAGTATTCCCTGATAATTGCTTGTATTTCTGAGGAGTTGGTTGTAATAAGTCCATTTTCATTCATAATTTTGTCTATTTGGGTGCTCTCTCTTTTCTTTTTGAGAAGCCTGGCTAGAGGTTTGTCAATTTTGTTTATTTTTTCAAAAAACCAACTCTTGGTTTCATTG